TTAAAACAACAAACATAGTAGTATTAGTAATAGTAATTAATAATAGTAGCGGTAATAGTCTCTCAGATGAGCACACACTCGATCTACCTCGCATGCATTCGGTCTCTCTCGCGAGCACCCGGTCACTCTCGTGCACACACTTGGTGAATCTCGCACGCATTCAGTCTCTGCTTTTGTTTGACTTTTGTCCAGTCTGGCATCTCATGTCTCATTCAGACCGGCTTTGCAGCTCCCTGTAGCTCTAGGTGGTGACCTGCTACAGATGCAGGTCCGTGTAGGTCTATGCAGCACGAATACAACCCACCTCTGAGCGAGCTGAGAGAGAATCACTTGATCTCTGGTGGTGCTCCTATTGGCTGTTGCTCAAGAAAGTCGCTCTTCATTTAAATGAAGTTGGAAGGATTCTCCACTTTGTTTCATCGATTGACACGCTCACCTGGTCATCAACAGTCTATGTCGCTCGTGTAGATGAAGGACCCCGGAAGTCGCTCATTCTCCGTTGAAATTAATGATCGCTTGTCACTTTGCCACTGCAAGTCACTTGTAGTGTGAATGAGGCTTCATACATGATGCATCTTTTTTGCTGTGGTTGGTTGGCATCAATTCCACAATGAGTCGCCTCTGTAAACAGGAAGACGTGGGCTAGACTGCAGCTAAAATTAATTAATTTACCATGTAACAGACAAATGCATCATATTGTAACGGTAACGAAGTTACTTTATTTAAAAAGTAATGCATTAGAGCAGGCCGGGATTGGCTAATCGGGAGGACCGGGAGAATTCCCGGTGGGCCGGTCCGTTTTTTGGCCGCAAGGGCCAGTGTCCCAATCTGTTGCTCTCAGCAGTCACACTTTTTAAATTAATTTATTTATTTACTTGACCACAGCCTTCTTAATCATTATTTTACCGCAGCTCTGCTCTTTTTATCTATTTTCTCGCAGCCTCGTGAGCAAGACGCTGCCTGCAGGTTAATGATGATATAACTCACCTCTTGATATATAGCTGTTGTGGTCCAGTGGTTAGCAAGTTAGGTTACGATGCTGCTGACCCGGGTTTGATCTTCATCTAAGTAATTTATATTTTTTCATTTTTATTGTTAAGACATATAATACTGTTAGGGTTGTTGAACATTTGAAGTTCTAAAGCAGCTGTTTTCTCAAAAAAAGACGTGATAGTGTAATTAGAAACTGAATTTAAAATGACCTTATTTTAATATAGTCAGTCGTGAACTGAGGTGGGCCGGTGTGAGGCTTGAAACTCCAGGGCTGAAAAGGAGTCCCACTCCGGCCCTGCATTAGAGTATTAGTTAGTCAAAAGTAATGCCGTTACAGTAGCACATTACTAGTAATGTGTTATTGCCCAACACTGATGGTATGTGAACTTACAATTTTGAGTGAACTATCCCTTTAAAGAATAATTGACAACATGCCTTTGAATTATTTGAAAATAAGGCACACAGTTATTGTTTATTTATACAGGGGCTGATGAATGTTTCATTATGATTGGCCAATGAGCATTCTGAAGTGTCCAATTATTCTTTGAAAACACGCAACTAAAGCAGTTCCAGGCAAGGCTTGAACCACTTTGCAGTTCTATATCTCTATGCTGAATGATTACTTTACAGCCTGAAACTATCAAAAATGACAGATGTCTTGAAATACAACATCTGATCAATGTCTTTAAGTATGGTAACTGTAGCATAATCATTATAATTTACTCTGGCACATTGATTTATTAGAAAATAAGTAAATTTATATAATAATATCTTGCCATTAAATACGTTATTGGCTTTAAATTAGACACCTGCACATTTATCTCTAGATTTCAGTCTCTGCCATTAAGCCTGAAGTGCATCTTTGTGCTTGGTTTGTGACCCCAAATCACAGGCCGAATCCAGAATCTCTATAAAGTTAATAGAGTGTAGCATTTTCATTTTGAGCAACAATGAGAGCTTTCAGTGTTTCCTGAAGAAAGGAGATTTGCTCCTATTTGAACCAGCATTAAGCTGGTTTTATGGTACACCTGGATGCTGTTCTTTTGTGAGACAACAGATGTCATTTTTTTGTGTGTGTGTTTGTGTCGAGTGGAATGGGAGAACAAAACAAGAGACATAAAGTTGCTAGATTCTCTACTCACATTGACGGACAGTAACTGTTGTAGTGATGTGAATCTAATTTCACAGTTGTTTGTCTGATGAAGGAACACTGTCCTCCCTAAAGGCGTCACCTGACTTCTGGAATGCGTGGAGTCGTGGCGGTGGGTCACATGGCTGGTCAGGTGGTCCTCGGCCACCAGTTTCTCTCATGATCAACACACATCTACACAATTACTGCAGCCCTCAAAGGGAAAGAGTCACTTGAGAATCAATGATGTGTTTGTTCACTTTCTCTGCTGGCTGGGTCGACTTTAGATCATGAGGCTTCTTGAGGGACGACCAGCTCTTTGATTTATTTAGTGACTGACCAGCCTGCTATAGAGTGATGTGTAGTTTTAGATAGCGCTTTGGAAGGTGCTTTTTATTTTGTGAAGGATCAGAAGTGGGAAAAAAAAGATTGTTTTCATACAGGTTTCCTCACGTCCTCAGTGCTGCTATATACAGACCATTAGTTGAGCTAATGTTTGTAAGTCAGTCATGGCACATACACATAGACCAGTAGACAGAAACTTAATACAAGTTTCTCTTTCAAGAAGGATATTTGACCCTTTTTAAGCATACTTGAATTATAAACTTATATTGACAAACTACTATAGGTTAAGATGTACACAAAAACAGTGGGGTTCGTAATCTGTTTCTGAACAATAGTTTTGAGTCAGTGATTGACATACACATTTGTGATGACTGTCACTTGATGCATGTCTTAATAAATCAATTGTTTAAATAAATCAGTTGAATGAATAATTGAGCAACAAATGCTGTGACCTGCCACCACCTGGTGGAGGTTTAAGTTATTGTTTTAAAATATTGCTTATTTAAATCTTATATTATTTATTTTTATTTACTCCTTAAATTTACAACCTTAATGATATACCATTATGTTGTTATGCATTTAAATGCATTTATGTCACCTATCAACCCTATTTAATATACCTAGTAGATGCCACTTTTTAACATATGAAGAGTTCAGATGCAAAAAACTCTAAGTGCCATCTGACGTTTTCTTCTTAAATGAGCATTTTTCTCAACCTCTTGTCTTTATGTTCAGTTATTTCACGTTAAAGGCCATGAAAATAACCTCTTTTCCATGCATGTGAAATTACTGTACATTCACATAGCAGCCTGCTGAAACCACTTTGAGGTTTTTGCATCTGAACTCTTCATATACTTTTTAACATATAGCACATGCTGATGACCTTGGTGTTTTATTTAAATCAATGTAATAATTTGGCATAAAACATTTTAAAAAGAGAAAAATACTTTACAAAGGGGGAAAAACTTGAATTAAATAATTTAAATAATTTCTCCTAATAGGAAAATTCATGTCTGTCATCAATCAGTAGAAGCTTTTATTTAAATTATGAGAATGTGAAGACAAAAACACGCACATTAAATAGAAATTTGGGGGATTTATATTTGCTATCGGGCACATAAAAAACTTTACACATTCCATATTAAAATATACTTTTTGATGCTATGCCATGCTTCACTGTAAGCATGATTCATTCCACACGATTCATTCATGTTGTCCCAATCCAAATCGATTAAGTTAACCCAACACTTTTTAACAAATTTATGTGAATTGAACATAAAAAATTAAGCTGTTCTAATGAAATCTCAAGAACTATGTTGTTTCAGCTCATTTGAAATAAGTAGTTTAAACAAGTAAAAAATATATTTTTGAGTATTTTAAGTTAACCATGTACCTAAATAATGTTGTTATCAAATTATTTTTAGATAAATAGCAAAAGTGCTTAAATATAATGTTTTACTGGCTATTTAAAAGGTGCATTTAAAATGTAATTAAAAATCTCTGGAGAGTGATTTCAATTAAAATTTAAATATACAAAAATATACATTACCAATCAAACATTTGAGGATGTACAATTTTAATGTTTTTCAAAGATTTTTTCCAAGCCTTGATCTATTTGATCAAAGAGTAAAATTAACAATATTGAGAAATGAGAAATATTACAGTTTGAAAAATGTTTTTTTATATATATATCTAGGGTATATGCTGAGCTAGTGTTGTTCCCATACTGATAAACTTCCGGTGACCTGTTCTTGTGAGTTTTTTTTTCCATTTTATACGATTCTTTTTACAGCATCGATGTTGTAATGTAATTAAAATACAATCAGTTAAACAGACTTTAGCACTCATTTAGTTGCTCAAGCATAAAACGAGATGAAAAGCTGACAGAATCGGCAGGCTAGCGCATAAGCTCCATTGAATATACTGGTGTAAAATAAATGCTCATATTATAAAGACATGGCAGGGGAAAAATTAATTTAATGCAGTGCACAATCTTCTTGTACAATCGGAGACCCACTTTATATCGGATAACACAGTGAAGATCGCTTTTTAAGAAAATAGACCTTAAACTCACTGATTTTGAATGGCATACAGTTTACCGGAAGTGCTTAACCCATGCAGGTTACTGGCAAATTAAAAGTCCTATTAGCATACTTCTGCATATACCCTATTATTTTACTATATTTACAAATGTAATTTGTTCCTTTAGTGTTCAGTGTTACGTAATCCTTCAGAAATCATTTTGATATGCCAATTATTAATTTCTTATCATTAGCAAAATTGAAAACAGTTGAGCTGCTTCTTGAAAAGTACAGCGTTATACTTTTTTTCCCTCAGGATTCTTTGATTAATGGAATATTCAAATGTATACCTTATATAATTTATTAGAAATAGAAATCATTTGCAATACAAATATAATAAAAATAGATTCAAATGTCATGCATTGGGGAATGCAGAAGTTGAATAATATTAGGATAATAATAAATACATCAAATACATTAACTAACTTATTTTTTTATTTCAAATTACCCAGCAGCAGCATCATCCAATGAAAATGAGGAGAGGGTGTTTCGTGAGCGGATGCGTCCCCGAAAGCGCCAGGGGGCCGTCAGGAGGAGAGTCCATCAGGTCAACGGGCACAAGTTCATGGCCACCTACCTGAGACAACCTACCTACTGCTCCCACTGCAGAGATTTCATCTGGTAAGACCCTTGTTCACAACATCTTTTTAGTTACATTGCTCTGCGTAAAAATGAATGTTTCTCCATTTCTCAGTGAATATAGGCAATGCATTTTTGTGCATTTAAACAAAACAGTTTATTAAACAGATATATTTATGGAAATAATATTTTAGTCACCAAATATATTTAGAAATGAAAAGATAATAAACTAAATTCAAGCTAAATATTGCAAAATAAAATAAATACAACCTACAAAATTACAACAAATTTTTATTTATTTTTTTCGCTTAATTCTTCCTCTTTTTTCAAATTTGTATTTTGCTATGTTTTTCTAACATAAATTTGGGTTTACTAGTTTTTAGACCATTGATCTAAGTTATTTAGTTAGATAAGCTCCAGATTTGGCTTCAGTACTAATTAATCTAATGTACATGCACAAATATATTAATGTGTAGCTACCTATTAAAAAATATGAATTTAAAATATAGATTTGTGAGGGGTGTACTTATATATATATATATATATATATATATGCTGAGCACTGTATACTAATGGTCAAAATGGTCAAAAGAATTTTTATGTTTTTAAAAAGAAGCCTTCTTTAAAAATGTTTCTTATGCTCAACAAGGCAACTTTTATTTGATAAAACAAATGCAAAAGAAAAACTGTTACATTTTGAAAGAAAAATAACATTTTAAGAAGCTTTTTTTTACTCTTGAATGTAGTTGAAAAATGCATAAAATTGTTTGTTTTAATGAGGAAACAGCCATACAGACCCAATCAAAAGTACTATTGGATTTGTATGTAATTTTATTCATCAAGTATTAATCATTAAGGGTGAAATTAAAATAGTACAAGACTTATAAAAGTATAAAAATGCAATACAATAGAAATATTAAAATACAATGCAATTTCAAATAAATGCTGTTATTTTTTATTTTATTTTCACACTTTATTTTATTTTATTTTCACTTCAACAAAACTAAAATTTATAAAACTAATAATTGCAATTATCGATAGATTGTTTAAAGATTATAGATGATTGAATAATAACTGATTTTAACAGAACAGCAAATTGTGGCGCTGAAGACAGGAGTGAATTTAGTCATCGTATCAAATGACATTATAATGCTTATGAAAATCCAAACTTATTTTGAATTCTTTTAAATGTAAATGATATCACACAAGGTACTGTTTTTATTATGTTTTTGATCAAGTAAATACTGTCTGGCTGAAGACTATTAAAATTCAAATAAATTTTTTTTTAATCCTAATTTTTTCACTAGTGTAGTTTATTATCATTTCTGCGCCTGATGCTAATCACAGACACTCTTCCTTATGCTAACAACAAAAGAGGTTTTGTAATGATTATGCATATTGAAAGCAAATTAGAGCCACTGTCCTTTGTACTAGTGCAGTGAGCCTTGAGGGATGCATTCATGGATTAGACAGATGCTTATTTTTTACGTCTGCAAGCATTTCCTCCAAGTAATAATAACTGTTATGTCTGTCTATTTGCATACCTGGTGAATAGCGCATCTGTTTGGCGGCACACAATGCGTTGTCACCGCTAACACAATCATGTTTGAAAGAAAACTGTGTTTGTAGTCTATGGTTTTAGCGTAATGCTCTCTCTGCTGGTCAGAAACGGAAATGCACAAACCTAGTTCTTACTGTGATGTGTTGTGACTGTGTTTAATGTGTTTTAAACCTGTTGTAGACAAAAGCATAGATGCTTTAAAGAATGTTGGAAACCGGTAGCCATTAACTTTTATTGGAGGAAGTCGGTGGCTACCGGTTTTCAACATTCTTCAAAATATCTTATTTTGTGGCTTACAGAAAAAAAGAAATATATACAGCTTTAGAACCGAACGAGGATGAGTAAATGGTGAATAAATGTTATTTTATTCTTTCAAATGTGTTTTCTAACACTTAATATTTTGCTGTGTTTTTGCAGGGGTGTGTTGGGGAAACAGGGGTATCAGTGTCAGGGTAAGATACTTTCCTTTGTACATTAAATGAAATTATAAGTTTCTAAGCTAGAGAAATTTCCACAAAAAAACAAAAACAAAAAAAAATTACAGATTTCATCTACAGTTCTTAAATTTTTCCACCCTCAATGCCTTAACTTTCTTGCCTATTCCTTTAATTTGTCAGTTTGTACCTGTGTGGTCCATAAGAGATGCCATGAACTCATAATAACAAAATGTGCTGGCATGAAGAAACAAGAAGACACTCCTGAAGAGGTCAGTTCTACATGGTTGTGGCTAGAAAGGATACAGCTGCATCTGGAAGTTAACAGAAATTATTTTATATTATTTGTTAAATGATTAATTGATTTAATTTCAAAACACCCCAACTCTAAACCCAACCATTATAGTAATCTAAATCTAAAAAAAAACACAAATTATACAGAGTATTATTCATATTATTTAATAAATTACCATTAATTAAATTATATTTCATTAACATTTAACTCTACCTCAACCCTCACAGTAATGTAAAAATTTTAATTGTGGCGCAGTGGGTAGCACGTTTGTCTCACAGCAAGAAGGTCGCTAGTTCGAGCCTCGGCTGGGTCAGTTGGTGTTTCTGTATAGAGTTTGCATGTTCTCCCCGTGTTGGCATGGGTTTCCTCCAAAAGCATGTGGTATAGGTGAATTGGGTAAGCTAAATTGTTTGTAGTGTATGTGTGTAAATGAGTGTGTATGGATGTTTCCCAGTAATGGGTTGCAGCTGAAAGGGCATCCACTGCGTAAAACACATGCTGGATAAGTCGTTGTTTCATTCTGCTGTGGCGACCCTAGAATAATAAAGGGACTAAGCTGAAAAGAAAAGGAATAAATAAATGAATGAATGTGCATATCTGCAGCTTTATCCCATCTAGACTTTTTCATTCTACATCTACACTCTCGCTCATTGGACTGAACTATGTTTTAGTTAACACATTTTCATAATTTTCTTCAGTACTGTATTTTGATTCGTCATTTGCTAACCCACAACATTAACCAAAATATTCACAATAATCATATCAGAAAACACAGCAAGGATTAATATTTCTCAGAACGCAATCCGCTGACCCACTTTATATGAAGAGTCTTTAATTCCTAATCATTTGATCCAGTGCACTTCATTTGATTGTGATAAAAGTTTTATTGTTAAATGTTCATGCATAATCTCATGCAGTGATGAATTGTAGTTAACAGACTGGTCAGTATATGCCATTATATGTAACGTATTACAAAGTGTCAGAAATAACTTCTTAAAAGTAATTTAATTTCATTTTGATTTATTTATGCACTGTTATAGAATCTTAATTTAATAGAATCAAAATCATGATCAAGAGTATAATCACTGTTTTATTGATAAATATTGATGCAAAGTAATCATGCGCGTGTTATTTAAAAACCAACAATGTACTCAACATGCTGTACAATTTAAACTGTGTTATGTGTAGTATTCTTTTATTTCAAATGTACACCATGCAAGGTAGTTTTAGTATTATTTTTGTGCAGTTATAATATTTATGCCATAGTATTTTACATTTATTTTAATGTTTTTTTTTTCTTTTTTTTAAACTTTATTTTATTTATTTAATTTTTAGTCAAATTTAAATTCATTTCATGAATGTAATATTCTTCAGGGTTTCTACAGGTTTCTTCAAGTCAAATTAAAGACTTTTTAAGACTGTTTTAAGACCGTTATGAATGAAATTTTAGACTTATACAGGGCTAAACATTAAGGATTTCTTTAATGGCCCAGCTAGTTTTGTAAATCGTTTTTGTATTGATAAAAGATCATGTTAAGAGATGTGTTGCTTTAGTTTTCTTTTCCAGATTAGGGAATTTAATTGGCAGATTTTTTTAGTAAAAATGTCTAACAGCTGTTGTGAATTGTCTCTTTTTGCAATAAAAAACTTTAATATAAAAAAAGTTTTGAGATGGATTATTGGTGATTAGGTGTTGGCTCAATAGGGTAGCTTTACATGGACAATTGGAAAATTAAGACCTGTTTAAAATGATTTAAGACCTACAACCCAAATTTCAGTAAATTTAGGACTTTTAAAGGCCTGAGATTTTGTTTTTAAAGATTAAGACATTGTTAGACTTTTTAAGACCTCGCAGATACCCTGTTCTTGATTTTATTTTTTAGTCTCTTTGTTCTATTTTTAAATTGTACTTTTCATCTTAGTTTATTTGGTTTGCTGTTTGATTAAATATATTTGTTTTTATATTTCTGTTTGTTTTTAAGTTTCTGTTTATTTCAGATTCTTTTTAACTTTTTTTTTTACATTTTGTATTCCTATAAAATAAATAATTTCTTTTATTTCAATGATTGGAAATGCAATAACCAGTTTTGGGGGGTAACGCACTACAAGTAAAGTGAGTTATGTAATAATATAACTTAACAGTAACACTGAGCCCTTGTACCTGAAACTACTGAAAACAGGATTTTTCACGATCGGTTGAAGTGTGAAAATTGATGCCTTAATGATATTTTGTTTTTACAGGTCGGCTCTCAGCGCTTCAGTGTAAACATTCCACACATGTTCAGCATTCACAATTACAAAGTCCCAACCTTCTGCGACCACTGCGGCTCTTTACTATGGGGTCTGATGAGGCAAGGCCTGCAGTGCAAAGGCAAGAGTTGCAGATAATGGTGCAAAATCAGTCAAACTATTTTTCTTCGAGCCATTTATTCACATCTGTCTCCCTGCATGTTTTCAGCCTGTAAAATGAATGTCCATCGGCGTTGTGAAAGTAATGTAGCTCCTAGCTGTGGTGTCGATGCCCGAAAAATCGCTAAAGTGCTTTCTGATCTCGGGGTGACGCCAGATAAAATCTCCAACAGT